TGTTAAGTTATATAATATATGCTAATCTAAGTGTGTATTTCAAAATGTTAGACTTAAGTGCTCATAAGTATTTTTTTAATATTTTCTTAGAAAATAATATATCATTTGCAAATTGAAAATACTAATGAATAAATTGTACCTAATGAATTCTAACTCTAATATACATATACATTAGGCATAATAATAATTTAATTGCTAGTAAGTAGTAACCAAACTAATTTGAATTAATCTAATAAAATAAATTTTTTATTTATTAACTTTCCATAGGGTAAGTTATAGTAATCGCAAAAAAATCGAAAATGAAATTTTTTGCAAATCTTCAGGTTTTGAAGGTTTTTGAACATTTTGGCATAACTTTAAAAAAATGGATGTGTGTGTGTGTGTATCTTTGGATATAATTTTTCGTCCACGATTTCAGGCGCACGAATTAGTTTTTGGTGGAGATAGGTCCAGCCGTTTCGAAGATACGGGGCAAAAGTTGCCAAAAACGGTAATATAATTTTTGAAAGAACGGAGTACCCGATTTGAATGATTCAAAAAAACATGTTACTTGTATTGACGAAATGAAATTTTTGATGAAATTTTCGGTAATGCAGGTCTAGCGGTTTCGTAGATACAAAGGCAAAAGTAAAAAAAATGATATTTGGCGCTCAAAAATGATCGTTAGACATATGTATATCAAATTATCAGATATTTGATAGAATTTTCAAAAATGAGTACTAATTTTGTTACAATTTTGTTGGGTTCCGTATCAAGATTGTTAATTTTTAAAGTTTACTTATACGGTTCAAGCAAATTTCAAAATTTTCAGAAATTTTTGTTTCTCAAAATTTCCAAAAATGTACAAAGTTTTATACTTCAAATATTAATTTTGAATTTACTATTTAATTTAAATATACCCAGATGGATTTATTCGGCACCTCTTGCTAATGTAAAATTTCTCAAGTGTTTTGAGATCTCGCTCAAAACCGTCAATTTTATGAACGATAAAATATATAGTGATTATAATTATCTATTTCAAAATATTTAAAACAATTGTTATTAATCATTGATCAATATTTACTGATTACTGATTTTTTTTCTCAAATATTTAATTCTGGTACAGGAAGTTCCAGCAAGTTGCCTTAAGGTACGATGCCATGCACCACTAGTTGATGTTTTATTATACTAACATTTGTTCTATCCTTCTTTCTAATTAAATACATTTAATTGTACCTTGAGAGAAAATTATTTTCTTTACCGTTACAAATATTTTATCTTCTCACAATTCGTGCTAATAGATTTGCTTGGTTGTGATCCAATAGAAAAATAACTTCACGTAGAATATACAATATATTATACATATATAATAATATGTATACATTAAAAAAGAAGCTGTATGTAAAACATAAAGTTCAATCAGAAAACGCAAATATACTATAATCATTGATTAATTTTTGAATTACATATGCGAATGATAAATGATGAAGCTTTATTACCGAATTATGTTTACGCTGTAAGTTTGCTTCAATATTTTAAAATTTAAATCCTTGATAAATGTATATTTTTTACTTGTATCCATTATCGAGTTGAATTTATGTGATCAAATTGTGTTGTATGCAGAAGTTTTCTTCAATTTGTTTCTAAATTCAAAACTTTGTATATTTTTCATCTCCATCTAACACGAAGTGGATTTTACTTGTCCGAATTGAAAGAAATTATCTTTATGCCTTTGTCATACATTTATCACATTTTTCATTATTTATGAGTTGAGTTTCTTGAACATGTCTATTGTTAAGTCAGGTAACTTATCTCTGCAGTTTGTACCTTAAGTACTTTCAAAATATATTGATTAAAACAACTATTAAAAATAAAATTGTACGAAAACGCCAAACATATTCAGATTCGATATGATTTATACATTTTTTACATACATATATGCCTTATGCAAAAATATTGTTCCTCCTAGCTGGACAATTTAGATAGTTAGAGTTAATCGGTGTTGTATTTCTGTCTTTTAACATTTGCGTGCACATGATAGCAACTTGCATTCTGTTACTTCAGTGATAAGCATCGAGCTATATTTCAACACCGTCATTAAGTCGATTTACCTACTTCCGTGATGCGAAATTATGTCCAAAGGGCAGAGATTAATCGCCATGACGCTTCCGGATATTTGTTTCGATCCATCGATTCCTGAATCGTGCATCGTTTGCTTAATGATTTGTTTTATTGACAATAATTGCAGGTTTGGGATCTTTTCAGATCATTTATCTTTACCTTAAAGCTCTTGGTTGTATCATTAAAATAAGCTTTGATTTGAATAAGTAGATAATTGAACTTTTAAAGTTTTGCTTTATATTTTGAAACCTAGATCTTAAATTTTTATAAGTTTTTCAAAAATTAATTAACTTCCCGTAGGATAAGTTATAGTAATTGCAAAAAAGTCGAAAATGAAAATTTCTATATATCTTTTCGTTTCAAAGATTTCTGAACATTTTGGCATACCTTATAATTAGAAAAAATCGATGTATGTGTGTGTATGTATGTACGGATACAAATTTTTGTCGACGATTTCGCGAACACGATCCAACCAATTTGAATAATTAAAAAAACAATCGATTCTCACTGATAGGGAGATGTGCTGATTAGATTTTGGCAAAGCCAGGTCTAGCCGTTACGAAGATACGGGGCAGAAAGTATCAAAAATGGTATTTTAGTTTTTGTGATAACATAGCGACCGATTTAAATAATTCAAAAGACATTTCACTTGTATTGACTGATCAAATTTTTGTAAAGGCAGGTTCAACGTCTCTGGAGATCCAGTAAAAAAGTAAAAAACAAATCCATTTGGCGGTCAGAAATGAACATTAGACATATGTACATCGTATTATCAGATATTTCATAAAGATTATAATAATAAGTAAGTATATTGGGTGCATTTATTTGGGTTCCCTACTAATGTTCACACGATAGTTTGATTCCAAATCAGCTATGCAGCGCGATCGCTTGAAAAAAATGTTCAAATGTTCAAAGAATCAAAATACAAAAAAATCAAAATATAAAATAATTTTTTTTTCAAAAAAGTCAATTTTTTCCAAAAATTTTAATTTTCTCAAAAATCTAACTTTTTCGAAGTTTTGCAAAGTTTTTTTTAACAATTTAGTTTTCAGTACAAGAAGTTCCAGCAATTTGCCTAAGGCATGATGCCATGCACCACTAGTTTTGTTTAAAATAGTAATCATATTTCTGAAAATCGCAAATTTTTGTCATAAGTTATCTTAAAAAAAATCTTACAAAGTCTACGGGAATGACATCGAAAACATTTTTGCATAAGACTGATGAATGAATTTCATTATTACAGTTATACACCCATTATGATTTTTAATAACAATATTTTTAAAAAATGCGTTTTTTAATTTCCGTTATTGCAAATAAATCTGTATGCAACTGTTGATCAAACACCGTTTCAAAATATATTTTATTGTCCGTTAAAAATAGAATGATGGCTTTCTTTGCAAGAAACACAACACAAAACCGTTCATCATTCTCTATATAGCTTATATAGCTTTTTCAGTGGCTGCATTCTCTATACAAAAATTTCTTGTTCACATTTTTGTTTAAAGTTCTTTAATGAAACTTTTGTTTACGTTTGGCTGACTGCCTTGATTTATAGTTCAAAGCGATCCTGCAGCTATAGTAAAGGTACTAGAATGCATTTTATTAGGAATAAAATTTATGGTCTTATTCAATGATTTATTCGTTTAGTTATTACAAGTTTGTAAAAGGCTGTCCAAAAATGTAGAAAAATCAACACCTGATTGAAACGACAATCAATTGTTTAACATAATTATCGACAGGGTGAAGAATTAAATATATGGTTGAATTAATTTTAGTAGTTTCTAATTGCATTATCTCCTGTTTGATAATATTCATGAATTATATTAAAATTTGTCTTCATATTATCATCCAATTTTTGAATACCAATATAAGTAGTGGTGTGTGGCATCGTCCTTGAGGCAAATTGCAGGAACTTTCCGTACCGAATTAAAATTTGGAAAATCTGAATTTTTTTAGAAAAGAAACAAAATTTGTAAAAATTAAAAAAAATTGAATGTTTTTTTATTTCTTTTCCAACACAAGCAGAATGACATCGAAATTCAAATCGGATGCTTATTTCTCTCAATAACAGCGAATTTTTGCACATTTTCCTCCATATCTTCGAAGCTGCTGGACCTGCCTTTAACAAAAACCACTTCTTCACGTCATTACGAATAGAATGTTCTTTAAATCATTCGAATCGGATGTTCTGTTCTCTCAAAAATTGGATTTTAATTTTCTGCTTTTTAACTCCAAAACGGTTCGGCCGACTTATGTCAAAAACTAATCAACACATCTCTCTATTTAATAGAAATCAAATGTTTTTTGAACCATTCAAATCGGTTGACCCATGCGCCCGAAAACGTAAACGAAAAATTTTATCCATACATACATACACACACATCCATTTTTAACAATAAGGTACGCCAAAATGTTCAGATACCTTTAAAACGCGAAGATATGCAAAAATTTTCGTTTTCGATTTTTGGACGATTACAATAACTTACTCTATAGGAAGTTAATAATATATCTGTAGTTTATAACGACAATAATATTCACATTTTGGTTTTTGGTTTTACTATTTTTGCATTTGGTAGTTGTAGTTAATTTTAACTTGTTCAAGTGTTCAAAAAAATGTATAGTATTATAGAAAACCACGATTTGATCATAACTCATAAAAACTTTGCAGAGAAAAATAAGCTTTAAACTATAAACAATATATATATTTTTAATAATTTGCTAGATTCGAGCAGGCGTGGTTTCGGTTTATAAATTTATTTTGACATTTTATATATTTATATATTTTAACTACTTTTATTTAGTAATATTTTTGTACTATTTTCCATCACAAATATTGTTAAATACAATTTCAGCTTCTAAATTTACATCGACACACCATCCCGTGCCAATAGATTCGAAGAATGCCGCTGTCAGAAGACGAAAATGACTCTGCGGCTTCCAAGGATAAATCTTCCACGAAAGTGTCAATGAAACTGAGTGACACGGCTCATGCACCATCCGTCAAAGTGCCAACTCCGAGGAAGAGCAAACCCAAAGAGATGGTGCGCCGACCTACCATGCTTCAGGCTTTACAGCACAAGAAATATGTCGCTAATTCTACGTGAGTAATAAGAAGATTTATTGATTTTATGTGTACTAAAGAGTAAGGGGGTAAGGGGGTAAAGGGGCGTCCATTAATCACGTGAGCTAGTTTTTAAGGATTTTTGGACTCCCCCCCCTCTTGGTGATACGTGGTGATATTCAAAATTAGCCCCCCTCCCACCTTACCATACCCCTCCTTCCCCCACGTGATATTTTGTGATTTTTTGTTAAACCCCCCCCTTCCCCTAATGGAAGGCGGCTTATTTCGATAATTTGATCTAACAAAATTATATACATAAAACGTGTACTGTCTCGTTTTATTAAAATTTTGAGATACATTTACGGTGTGCGAATCTATTTTTTTAATTTTTTAAAAAGCTTGCAAAATAATTTTAATATGAAACTTGCATGTGCCAAGCCACGTGACGTTTATAAGGGTGATATCATAACGTCCTTGTTCTTATAAATATAACGTGATCATAATATATTTCCAATTATTGAATTTTATAAAATTATATTGATTTTTGTATTAAAAAATGAAAAATGAACACCAGAATAAATAATATTAAACCTTTCGCTATGAGAGTCGTCTATAGACGACTTTTATACTGGTGACGTCTTTGGATGGCAAGCATTTTGTCAACTTTTGCTTCAAGCTTTAAGATTTGCCTTATTGAGAATTTATATTTAATTATATTTTATATTTAGGGTAAGTTATAGTAAGAGTCTAAAAATTGAAAATGAAATTTTTTGCATATCTTTCCGTTTCAGAGGTTTCTGTGCATTTCGGCTTATCTTAGAAAAAGTTGAAGTATGTATGTATGTGTGTGTATGTATGGACACAATTTTCATTCACGATTTCGAGAGCTCGGATTAACCGATTTGAATTATTCTAAAAGCTTAAGGTGATGGAAAACATGCTAAGTAGTTTTTGGCAAAAGTTGGCGCAGAAAATGGCAATTAAGTTTTTAGGAGGACGGAGCATCCCATTTGAATAATTCAAAAATCATTTTACTTGTAATGACAAAATGAAAAATTGATTGAATTTTTGCAAAGGCATGTCTAGCCGTTTCGGAGAACCAGAACACAAGTTTGAAATAATATTTTGCTATTTGGCGGTCGAAAATTAGATATTTACTACACTATGGATAAGCCGACATAAATGTGTATCAAAAACTTTCAAATATTTTCATAATACTCAAAAATGTTAAAAAAAAAATTAAAATTCTCAAAAAAAAATTACAATTCTCAGAAAAAATCAGTTTTTTTATTCTAAATGTTTAAACATTTCAAATTATGGTACAAGAAGTTTCAGCAATTTCTCTTAAGACAATGCCGTGCACCACTTGTTTATTATAATTCCAAGTTTATCAAAGTGCAATGTTTAATTTTGAAATACTTTTTTTGTCGATAATGCAATTTTTAATGCTTATTGATATTGATAATGATAATTTATTGTTCAGTAGTGCAGTTGGCTGTTCCGTACAGCAGCGTCACTATTGCGGAAAACACTCTCGTAGCAAAATAGTAAAAAATACCAAGTTGAAGTAAAAAAGTGTTAACATGCAATTATGATTAAATCATATATTATGTAAATTTCAAATGGTATTTAATGCTCGTTCAAAAGCTTCTGCATATTTCAATTCTGCTTACTTCTGATTGAATGGCCAAGATATTTATCTTTATAACAAGTGTCACTTTATTAACTCTATTCAATTAAACATCAATCATGTCCACCCTTTTATCTACAATGTCTTCTGTCAGCACACATTACGTTTCGTCAGTTCAGAAATAACGACAAGAAATCGCCACGCGATTTTATTGAAGTATTTATGTTTGCGTGATGTGGACTTCAGGAATCTTCAGATCAGTACTTTAATAGATATCCATTTATTGCATGCAAGAATATACTTACTTTTATATAAAACTTTGTTCAAACCAATTTGGTGCTATGGAATGCAATTGGGGGGCAGTGCTCATAAGACTAATAGAAATTAGTGGAGTGCATGGCATCGTGCCTTAAGGCAAGTTGCTGGAACTTCCCGTACCGTAATTAAAAATCTTGATACGGAACCCAAAAAAAATACATAAAATGTGTACACACTATAAAAATCTCTATAAAATCTGATAATTTGATGTGTATATGTCTAATTATCATTTTAGACCGCCAAAAGGCATTTTTTTAACTTATTTTTATTGAGAGTCCATAACTGCTGGAGCTGCCTTCCCAAAAATTTGAACATCATCTTGTCAATACAAGTAAAATGTTTTTTGAATTATTAAAATCGGACGCTTCGTTCTCTTAAAATCTGAGTTACCGTTTTTGGCACTTTTTGCCCCGTATCTTTGGAATGGCTAGACCTGCCTTTGCCAAAAACTAATCAGCACGTCTCCTTATCAATACGAATCGAATGTTGTTTGAATTATTCAAATCTGTTGATTCGTGTTTCTGAAATCGTCGACGAAAATTTGTATCCGCACATACACACATACACACATTTTTTTGCGATTATTATAACTTACTCTACGGGAAGTTAATTATACAGGAATTTCAGAACAAATTTTTGAAAATTGCCTTCGGAGCACCAAAATATATCCCGAACTGGCTAATTCATCTCGACACGAATACACCTACCATAAAAGATGTAAATTCATTAACAAACTTAAATACACTAACAGAGAACTATTGACGTAGGTTGAAAAGAAAAGCGCCACTAGATTTCAGTCATCAATTTTCCTGATAAAGATTGAAATGACTTAGTCATTATTTATAAGAAATTATTTATAAGTAAATAGTTAAGATTATATCATTATCAATAAAATATTGTTAATATTATAACAAACGGGAAAACAACTATTGAGTTGTATTTCCAACATGTCTATTTAGTATACAATGTCCTTTTACGACTGACAATCGTAAATTCCCCAAATTTATTGAATTTCTTTAACTGGACAGTTGTAAATTAAATAGAGAATAAAAAAAATAAAAAAAATATATTCATAGCAATTTTATACATTTACAAAATAATAGATACAAAATTTAATTGTTGGAATAAAAATATTAATGGGCGAGAAATCTAGTACTATCGGGTGAGAAGTCTATTGCTTACATTTAAACTTAGCTTGTAAATTGGTAATTTTGTTTTATGGCCAGTGTAAAGTTTGATTGAAACTACGACTGACAATATACTGACAATTTTATCTATTTTAATTCCATAAATAATTTCAACGTATCCTTGATCTATCGATCCAATTTTGTATTTTTTTCTGTAGCTTGCGTTTTTGTTTTCCATGTACTTTTCCAAGTGGAAAAGTAAATCCATCTCCAACTTGCACCCTTTCTTTTCTAATTCTATAATTACTGTCGTTAACAGGTATTATCTAACCTCCGGCGGCACGAATAAGAAACCGCCACGCGATGTTACGAAAGAACGAAGCCCGTTTTTGTACCCGCGCGATGTCGAACTTCAAGCTTATAGAATGCTCCAAGGAACTTGGGAAGCTGAGCAGAAGAAGAAAAACCAAGCGGACGGTTCTAATTATAGGACTAGACAGGTGCGAAGCACGCAAACGCGTTTATATGAAACGAATAATACACATGATTGCCGCATTTTGATATATGAAGATAGAGAAAGAATTGCGATTTCACTTAATTCAATTAACCAAATAATTATGTAAGATTAATTATGAACTTTCCATATCGTGTACCCTAACATATTAGTAGCTTCATTTGTCACTCTTTATATTCACTACATTTCTTATGTAGATAATATTTAAGCTCTTTCTGTGAAAGGTTTTGAAAAACCTAAATAGATTCTTATGCCTTATGGTTCTAGATAGATAGTTCTGTTCTATAACTCTTATATTAACTGATAATTCGCATTTCGCTTCAGTGTATGCTATTCCAATTTTTGAGAATTTTAATAAGAGAATGAACCATTAATACCGTATATATTGAATTGATACCGTATGAATGCTTCTAACGTTAAATGTTATAATTATACTAAATGATTTGTATTTTTCTAATTCATAAAATTTCTAGTTTTTTTTTGACATTTTAAAGAATGCAGATGTATTCACAGCAAGCTTATGTGGTAGTGTTTTAACTTTTCGAATATTTACATAGGTGATAAAATTACTGTATCTTTTAAAGATTTGAATACAAACTTAGATCAAGCTGGCTGTGAAAACAGATCATGCATGTAAATTTATAATTTAATCTTTTATGTGTAAAAATACAATATAACGAAAGAGATATAGTCAAAAATAAGTTGAACACTGAAACATAAATACGCATTTAAAATTTTAACATGAAATTAATTGAACAGTATTTTAGATCAGTTAAACCTGTTCTATTTTATAGATAGTTTCTGTTTAATATATAGGTACATTTATTTCAATATTTGTAGCAACTATATTGGGTTCACAAGTTTTTATATTCCAAGAAAAATTTATAATCTAGATACAGTGATACGTTATCTAAAACTAGAGACACATTGCTCTTATTAGGCAGCAATATTTAGGCTTCAGCAGACCCTAAAAGTTCTAAAAAGATTTTAATTTACTAAACATTAAGTTAGAGCTTAATAGATATTTTCAGGAATATTTATGCTCTTTCTGAAACATATTTTAAAACACTTTGAAACAGTTCTATGTTTTGCTCTATAACTCGTAAATTCACCAAAGAACTCTCCTTTATTTGGTTAATTTTGATAATTCAATGTATTAATATGCCTAATTTTATTCGAAATTTCATTGAGAATTTTAAAAAGAGAGTGAATCCTTAATTATAGCATTAAGTGTATAATTATACTAAAAGATTTATAGTATTTTTATTTATATGTTTTCTATGTATTTTTGCTAGTTTATCAAATTAATATTTTTTTTAACTCTTTAAAGAATGCAGATTTGCGTGCAAGAGTTCATACACCAAATGCCACTGTGGGTGGACCAGCAGTTAAAGCTATTTTGGATGTCGATCCCGATTTTTATAAATTGGTGCAAAATAGGCCGATAAAGGATAGACTCAATATAAATAAGTAAGTATTTGAATAGTATTCTATAACATTCATGTAATTATTTGCAGATGGGATAAATAAACTAGTGTATTTAGATATAATATTTCAGCCATAAAATGTTTGTATCAGTTTGTGTATTATATCTCTAAGTAGTTATCAAATGTTTATTTAACACTAGATTTACGGATTTTGATTAGATACCTATTTTTACTGAAGTGAGCCCATAGGCTCATTTGGATTTTTTTTTTAAAAAAAATAGGTCCAAGGCAATTTAAATGAAATGTTTTATTATCAAAAATTTTAAAATAATCATTTTTCACCACATTATCAAGTGGCCTCGTTTTACTTATATGTATCAATGTATATAGTTTTATATGTATATAGTCATCAAATTTTTATTGAGTCAAATTGGCTCGGGTTTGTAAATCCAGTGTTAAACTAGATTCAGATAATATTTAACTGTTGAGTTTTCTTTTTATATTTATATCATAGCACTTTTTATTTATAATCAGCATCTATTGTAAATGTCGATTTTAAGTATCTCATTGTTTTGAAAAATTTGATAGTATTCTGATCGATTCGGATATACAATATTAAAAATTTATATACTTTACCATAATTCTTCAAATATTGATGCAAGCACTGTTAAGACATTTTTGCTTATACATTCTTTGTCATAATACAATTGTACCTGGATTTTGTCACGTACATTTTTATTCCATATAAATTTTGCTTCTCCTTTTCTTTTCTGTATTGAAAACTTCAATGGAATGCTGTATAAATCGAATGTTTGAGGATTTCTCGTTAAGCACACGATCGTAATTACTTTATTATTAAAATGTGCAATAGGTACGTGAATGATGTGCGAGAATGTCTGAGAAATCGTATTCAATGCGGCATGCTACAAGACGAAGCTTTGCTAATTCAAGAAAATTGCTACATGGAATTGACGCAGATCAATGAAATAAAAGAAAAACATAAGGTATTTGAAGGATTTCACAGTTGCTTTGAGATTATTATCCGTTATCGACATGTAGTTAATTAAGAACATATAGGTAAGCACTAACGTGTGCCATAAGAATATTTTTCTGGTGAAGTAATGATTTTGATATTGGATTAAAATAGTTCTCAATTTTGTTTAATTTATATACTGCACGCGAGCTGTTTATTAAATTTTGTATGTTTAGAAATTCAGAATATCCAAATAATAAACAAAAGTATAAATATAAAAACAGTATGAAGATGTTTAGAAAATGTTTTTAGTGAACGCAATACGTTAGTAAAAGCTGCTTTAGAAAATGCCTACAATTTTACAACATTATTTCTTAAGTCCAAACATTATTTCTCAAGTCCAAATAGCTCATAGGACATCAATTAGTAAAATGTCCAAATAGCTCATAGGACATCAATCAGTAAAAGTATTTAAATATACCTTTGTTATATATTTTTGGATAACATAAAATTAATTTATATTTATTAAAATCATATACATACAAAGTAGAGCGGGGTTTAACGGTCCGCGGGTTAGTATTTCCACCACCGATATCTCAAAAACAATTGAAGTTAAGAATTTTTTAACAACAATATTTGAAAGTAGATGGCGAAAAATGTATAATCAGCCATCAACGTGATGCTTACGTCGTTGCTATCAGGAGATAAATCTGACAATATACGAGATCAAGGTTATATACAATTTTATCTTTATAAAAAATGTATCCAGGAAATTTATATTTTGCATTGGTTGAATAATGTAGCTATTATTTTGTAAAATTTCTTTTAAATTTAAAGTAAGATATTGTACCTGTTTGCCCCATGGCTGTGCCATTTTTCCACGGGTAAATAGGACCACTTGACAAATTTTTGAAAAATAGCAAAAAAATACATTTTTACCAAGATGAATTAGCTGGGTCTGGGATTTACCAAACATTGTTGGTAAAAAATAGTTGTTTGTATGATATGTGTTATTTGTTGAGATATAATTGATTGGGTATAATTGCTCAAAGTGAAAATGGACCTTCGTGTCCCGCCCTATCTTAACTATATTTAAGCATACGAAATACAAATAAGAATCAGCAACAGTGATTTAATATATTATAAAGTACATATTGTATATTATGTGTTTTATAAAGCTTTTAGTATTTATTATCATTATTAAATTAATATCATATTTTTTATAATTCTAGAGATATGCAGATAGTTTTGACGAATTCTTAGCTGAGGATCACAGGAATGCTCGAAAATTTTTGGAAGAAGCTGACTTGATGTCTGCCAAAACTATGAACTTAACTGTCGAAAAGAAAGAATTGAGTGTTAAACTTGGAATGTTGAGATGCGAACTTTATACGCTTGAAGAGACTTGGCGCGAATTAAAAATGTATCAGGTGATGGAGATATTTTATTTTTATACCTTGAACGTTATATATATACATATATATATATATATATATATATATATATATATATATATATATATATATATATTATATATTGTATGTATTTTCAGTGTAAGCCTTACGCAATTGATTGCAGCATTACGTAACAAAATGTCATTTGTACATGATGAAATCATGTGCACCATTTTAATGTTACTTGTTTCTATACAACTATGAAAACTACCTATGAAAATATGCCATCAAACAATAATTCAAATTGATTCATTTGAAAATCTGTCAACATTTTTGTTCAAGTAATTTATTCACCAATATCCGATATGTTTTTATACAGTTCTCGGTATCATCTTTTATGCGCTCTGAGGAGATTTATTTTAAATTAAGTTTTGATCTTTTTCCAGTCATTTCTTTATCGGGTCGCACCTCTGTCATGGCGATTGGAGCATGACTGGATCCACAGAGATTCGCATGATAATCTGCTACAGGAGGGACAGACTCAGGAAAGCAAAATGAAGAAAGAAGAATCGGTCTTGTCGCTTGATGATCTTCTTGTTAAATTTTTGGTTCGTGAGTAAAATTAATATTCATATACATTATCTCGAATCTCTGAAAAAATACATGAATTATACTGTCAATAAATAGAAGAATTAAAGAGGTCCATAAAATAAAAAAGGTGTCTGTATTGGGTGAGCGACTTATGTTTACGAATCGAAATCAAAAACTCAAAATTTGATGTTTAACTGCAAAAACAAAAAAAAATGCTACATGTTAATTAAAGTCTTATAATTTATGTCATTATGGCCCTTTTCTCTTTAAATGACTTGTGCAAAGGATTCCTGCAACGCTTTTTTATCTCTGTTGGGTATCTTTTTGCAGCTTCCAACAGTAATCAGTATTCTCTTGATCCATGCATTTTTTTAATTGATAAATTTAAAAAAAACATACTGATATTTTCTTGCAAATATTTATTGCCGATCAAAATAATATAATTTTTTAAGACAATATGCTGGGTAAAAATGCATTTAAAGAGATAATCTATAAGATTTTTATTTTTTTTATTTTTTGACATTTCATTTAAGATCCCATCCAATCTTCGAGTAGGAGATTCCTCGCTAATTCTTTTAAATATTTGTTTTGGTGACCTGGTAATTTTTCGTAGTATTTTTCTCTCCTTTTTTATTATTTCATTAATAGATTTATTTTTAGGTCTTTAAGTAGAGTATCATTCGTAATATAACAGGATGAGCTCACAATGCATCTTAAAATTTTTGATTGCGCTCTTTGTATTATTTTTATATTTGAATTGCTTGCGCACATACTGATTTACCGATCTATTACATCAAATTAATTCAACTATCAATATTCCAGAAATATTTTAAATTTTATTTTGGCTATATTTGTGTCGATTGATAGATCAATGTCTAGGAATAAATGACAACTTTGATGAATTTATTGAAACATACTACCGTATAACCTATATTCTATGAATTTTCAGAATAACTATGTTCAAATATTAAACAAATATTAATAAACTAAAAATAACATCCAAGATATTTTTTAAACTCTTAATGAAATTTATTTTATTACCATATATAGTGCATACAGTGGTATACAGCGATTCATTTATCTCTGCTCTTTGTAAAGTATAAAAGCTACGCATAATTTTTGCCTTAAATTTTTGTTTCATCGACTAATTAACGTTTAGTATGCAGTACAAACTATATTGAATTTTTCGTTACAACTTAGCTTTATACCCAATATTAAAATACACAGTATTTCAATCTATAAAAATAAAAATGCATTATACCAAGGTTAAATATTTACGGTTAGAGTATTTTTATATTTTCCACAGTCGTGATTTTTAAAACTCGATTATTAGTATCCAATTCTTAGAATTTAATTACCATAACGTTTTTCTTGAGTTGTATAATACTCAGCTCAATAATAATATGCAAACAAACTTAATGTTTTATGCTAACAACACAATTAGATCTAAGAGTCTATTTATAAATATTCACAGATTTATTAATATGGAAAGTATTTTTACAACGAAAAATTACCAGCATTTATTTTTAACGTTACCAAAATATTAGAGTAAATATAATAATTTCAGTAGTTTTATGAGTGCTATCTTTTAGTATCTCAGCATTTGCAGTTTTATTTTCGCAAGACAAACTATGTACAATATATGTTATAATAAAACAGAATTTGCTTTAAAACGCTATGTTTCAGCACATTTTATTAATTCATAAAAATATTTCATGTTGCTATGAAATGGTATGGATGTTATTATTAAATATAAGTGCAATGCTTTTGTGTTATAATTGTGTTGATATATAACTAATTAAAATTAAATTAAATTGAAAGCCTGTATCGTGGCGATTAATATTTTTCATGATATTACTAACAACACTTTACGGAACCTAACACTTTACGGAACCTTCCCAGAATATATTTGTCACGCAATTTAGAATTTTTAAAATTGAGCGCCAAAAAAATTTCGAAGTAATCTTGTTAACAAAAGCTTAGTGTTTGTCTATTGATCTAGTCAAATATGATATCATCAGTCAAGCCTGCAAGAATGCAGGAATATTTGTAGAAATATTTTACAAACGCTATCAACTTCAACGATTATATGTTTTTCTACGAACTTATGTATTTTCCTCGTTTTTCTTTAGGATTTAACTGAAAAATCTCCGGAACCGATGATTCCTTTCAGCACGCCGGGTGAGTTATTGGAAACTCTCGACGCGTTAGCCGAGTCGACATTGCATTCGCTCGCGCATTTGGAGAAAATTGCGGGGCCACTCGCCGCCGCCAAGGTAAACGCGGAAGCAGCCAAGGTGGAGGTGAGCAGATTAAATGTGAATTACACGGTTCAAGGCATTTTTCGAACACTTCTAACAATCTCTACGAATTATCTTTTCATTGAATACGATTTATGGTGGACATTGCGGGCTATAATTTATAAAATTTTACGTAGGGCGTTATAAACTATGATACGTTAATCAAAATCAATTATGTTCATTTCTTATTTTACAATGTAAAATATTCATATTTCATGATATTAATCATTTTATACGTATTCATTTTTTCTATTTTAATTACCCCCATGCAAGTTAAATATTAACACCTTAATATCACCTGCACAATCTATCTTTTTTAATTTGAAATATTTTAGTACAGTTTTAGTGTAATTAATGAATGAATGAATTAAAAAGGCACATCTGCTATTTTATTATTAAATATTAATATTTAAGGGGGTATTCTAGTGTAGAACAATGAATTTTAGGTAATTTTAAAGTGTCGTAAAAGAAAGCAATGAATGTTTTTACTATCCATTTTTTACCACTTGTTTATTAATATTATTAAAATACAATACAAAAATTAAAAAAATAAGTTGAAAATAGAAGAAACTGGCAGCTGATGAAGTGGGGGGTCTCAAAAAATTGGCACCTCAGTCTTGACATGATTTCAGCCCTCCTAGCCATCCGAAATAAAAGAAATAAAAAGATTATTAATCTACAATGATGTCGCAATCACCCGAACTAGAGATGAGAAAAAAAATTTTTTTACAAATTGGCGACTGTTTGAAAAAAGTGTCTTTTTTACTGTTTTTTTAAGATTCTCGAATTGTTAAAAAATAGTATAAATTGGAATTTTGGGGATGATGCTGGGCTACAGATAGGTCTATAAACAAAACTCTCTGAACATTTCAAGTGAATCGGTCGAGTAGAACTCGAGAAATCGTGTCAACAGTACTGAAATGGTCTGTTCTGAGAAAAACGCATTTAAAGTTTTGCGTGAAGTTTTTTGCTGTCAAAGTCATAAAATGATATGTTATACTTGTTTTTAATTTAATTTTAATCTGCCTCTCCTGCTTGATGTATTGGACCTTCTTCTGTTTCAAAAAAACTATTTTCTGCATTTCTCTCTTCCAATCGAGCAGTTCTAGCCTTCTTTGAGCCTTCTTTGAAGCGTTGGATGTACGTATTTTAGATCGTTCAATCCGGGCATTGTCTCGTCTTACAGCAAATGAATGAGTTTCTGGCCCAATTTGCATTACCTTGAGGGTCATCATTTTTTAAATCGGAAAGAAACCTTCATTGAATATGCAAACAGCAATAAATATTGCTATTTCAATTACCCGATATCGGGAATGGATATGTTTCGGCAAGAGTTTAGAGATTCATTATTATTCTGAGTTTCTGAATCAATACGTCGGATTAATAATTCATCTGATGATAAACTGTCATAAATTGCCAATGCCTTTTATCCGATTAGATCTTGCCAAACCAATTTGGAGACCGGGTCAGTAAAATGCCTATATCTCCAAAAATAATTCACATTTTCAAAAACCGTCTCGTACCATATTCTTAAATAGTTAAACTTTGAAAATATAAAACAAAAAAAATTATTTTTCGAATTTCTACACTAGATGGAATACCCCCTTAAAGTTCTGAAAATTTTTGTAATAATGTTATTTAATAAGTTAGGTTTTATTAAGATAAAATGTTTGCATTTTAATTCTTTTATCAAAATATTTAAAGATGACTTCTCATAAAATCATTTCTTTGACGCAGCACAAAACTTCATTAACATATTATTCAAATCTTTATTGAAACCTGCTAATGTCCATTGAACTTGCCTTCGTTTATTCGTGTCTCTGAAACTGCTGACTTGCCTTTCTCAAAAGTTGATCAACTATACTCACTATCACTGCAAATCGAGTGTTTATTAAATTATTCAAATCATTTGATCGTCGCAACCGTGGACTAAATGATGTATCCGAATGTGTTTTACATACATTCGCACACATCACAAACATTTTCATATACCAAAATATATTCGTTTTCATAAGACATGTCAATATGATCAGTGGAGGGTGGAGGGCAATGCATCGTAGAGTTATTAATTATCATTTTTGCGATTTGTATAACATTTTATTTGTCACTTCTTCAAAAACAAAATGTGTTCATAATACACTCGCTTCGAGTACAAAACCTTCTAAAACGTGACTAAAAAATCTCTAAGATGATGAATACAAAACTGCATAAACTTCACAAACTGTACATACTCATTAATAGGTTGCCAGGCTAATATTTATCCTTTTTTAATTTATATAAACTCATCATATAATATTTACGTACCGCATACAACCATCAGTATAACAAATATTTACACGTGAGTGCTTTGCTTATAAATCGTGTATTTAAATTGGTAATATTAATAACCAACAATCATTTAAATATATATGTTAATTTAATTCGAGCGTTTGGCATATTATGTTTTGTAAACAATAATAATGTTTTGCTTATAACTATTATTAGTTATATAAATTTAAGTTTCCATTGTGCTGTGATAAAAATAGATGTTCAATAACCAAAACATTTGGCTAATGACTATTTAAATTAATACATGAATAATGAGCTTGAATGTTATTGCAAACTGTTTAGATAATAATAGCACACCTTAAACATACACTATATAATATATAGTGTATATAGTATTATAGATATAGTAGAATCCGCTTAGTATGACATCGAACGGACGCCGAAATCTCGTCATACTAACCGGTCATCATACAAAGCATACTGAAGAAAAACTTTTTAATATGTAAATATGTTACATGTTTCAGTAATTTAAAAGAAAAGCCTATACATACATTTTAATTAAAAATAAAAATGACACATATTTAAATTTAATATAAAATAAAATTGACATAGGGCAGGGCGGGGCACAAAGGTCCAATTAGTTTCAGTAATTATACTGTCTAAACCCAATGAACAACCTTGCAACACATAACACACATCAAACAAGCATCTATCGAACTATGTACAGAAAAAAATATACATCTAAAATACAGGTAAAGTGGGACAACCAGGGGGCAAACAGATGCAATTTCTTCTATTAAATTTTAAAGGAATTTTACGCTACATTTTTGAACCAATGCAAAATATTAATTCTGTGGGTATATTTGTTACAAAGATAACAAACAGTGTATTAAATTATCTGCTATTGGTCAGAAATATTTATCAGACGAGCCGGAATAGCAATTTATTTAATTAATCTCTTGTAAAATTGCTTTTTTTTAAAACTTTACTATTTTATTACACCTTTGCCAAAGTAAAGATTCTGCTGGTCCTTTTTATCCCACTCATGTGCTGCTTATCTTCTGATAGCAAAGTCATAAGAATAAAGGTGATGGCTGGTTATGAATTTATACATTATTTGCCCTCTACTATCAAATATTTTTCTTAAAAAAATCTAATTTTATTTGTTTACGAGATATCCGTGGTGGACCATTAATAATTAGTCTATCTTACCCATAAACATACATTGTGCATAAAAGACATAGCAATTGCTTTCGTAGACTTGGCCACATCATGTAAAATCATGTCGGTCATTATAATTGGACATAATTTTTTGCAAAAATGGGTCATTATATGTCAATGTAAGCGATGTCAATATATCCGACTAAACAGCTGTTTTTTTTAAGGAATTTTATATGGAAACCAAACTTCATAGTGCGATTACGTCATAATAAGCGGTTGTCATACTGGTCGGATTCTATTGTACTCATAATATTAGGATTCATTTATAATAAAGTCCAGATATATTTATTCAAGCGGATAATTAATTTCAGTTGAATTACCTTAATTGAATGTCGAGAAATATAAATCTAATATGTTAAATATTAATTAAAGCCATGGAATGGTTTTGACAATGCATTAATTGCTTAGAGGTAAACATGCAATTGACAAAAATAGCAAATTGTGTTTGCAGAGGTATGAAAATTCGTAGAAAATTTTAAATGGAATTTAACGTACACGTGCCTAACTAATAAATATGAGTTCTTGTTATATTTCAAATATAAATAATAATCAAAATTTGTTTAAATTCGACAGGTCGAAGCCGAATTGACTGCTATGCGCCGCAATATAGATTCGCTGAGCCGGCACATTGATTGGGAAGAGAGACGTGGCAGATCGCTCAAAGCGCGCGGCGAAAGTTTACTCGAGGGCGCCCTGAGAAAATGCGTAGCGAGGTGAAATTCCAAATCGGATATTCATTTTATTCGCATTACCATTTGTCACGGAAAATTATACAGTTAAAACGATCACGGTTGATGATATTTTAATTAAGTCCGCCATTTGAATAAGAATGAAAGGTAGATACTTCATTATAAATGGTTTAGCTATAGGCTATATGTTCAACTACATTGTTAAATATATTTAACTAATATAGTTAAGAAAATACATTGCTAGGTCCGCGATATTAATATTATTGGACTGCCATATATTAGCACAAACTCGATAACATTAATACCGTTCGAATTTTATATTAAGTTTTATTTGTCTTATATATAAAAATAAATCGCAAAATGTGTTGGTAAGCGCATAACTCAACAACGCCTGAACCAATTCCGCCAATTCTTTTTTTAAAATGTTTGTTGAAGTCCAAGGATGGTTCTTACGGCGAGAAAAAATCGAATAGTTGCCGTTAAAACCCTAAAAACAGCCCTTTTCTTTTTCACATACAAATGTTTTCTAATTAAAACGCAGAATCAATTTGAGCTTTAATTTCTTCATAATGCTTAAATAAATAAGGTGAATTAGAGAATTAATAAAGGTAAATTGGTGGACAGGTAAATTGGAGGATATGTAAAATGGTAGACAGGATAACTGGTAGATAGACAAATTAACAAGACGGATAAACAGGTTGACAGGTAAATTGGTAGACATGTGAAATGGGTTGATAGGTAAATAGGTTTGCAGGTAAATTGGTAAGTTGGTAAAATGGTAAATCGATAAAATGGTAGATTGATTAACAAATTTATAGGTAAATTCGTGGATAAATTGTTGAATATGTAAATTGTTGAACAGATAGAAGTAATGTTAAACTAAATGTAGCAAATACACATCTCTGTTCAACTTTTTAATTTAAACTAAATCATGGCAAAGGGAGAACGGGTACAGATAGTTTTCTTATAAAAGGCGTGTTTAATAAAGCTAAAATAGACCGCTATGCACACAAAACTGATCAGGCAAAATGGTATTTCAGATCATATTAACACCATGTTTACGGAGCCCGTCAATATGGCAGAATTCAAACTTTGAAATGATATGCTTAAAAAACTATATCATTATTCTTAACTAATTTGTGCCGTAAATTCATTGCGTTAGTAATATATGCTATACATACGAATATAATTTCGAGAAACTTTTTAAACTTTGAAATTCTGATGAGGTATACCTCTCTGTACGGAAACCCATCAAATTGACAGTGCACCTTATTTAGCTAACAATTATTATATACCAATTTACTTTATTTGTAAGATTATGCCTTCAAAAAGTAAATATAAAAGTAATGAGAAGGGTGCCCGTCAATATGGCAGAATTCAAACTTTGAAATGAGATGCTTAAAAAACTATATCATTATTCTTAACTAATTTGTGCCGTAAATTCATGACTTTAGTAATATATGCTAATTATACAATTATAGTTTTGCTAAAATTTTTAAACTTTGAAATTCTGAAGTGGTATACTTCTCTATACGGAAATCCATCAAATTGACAGTGTACCTTAATTTGCTAACAATTATTATATACCAATTTACTTTATTAGTAAGATTATGCCTCCAAAAAGTAAATATAAAAGTAATGAGAAGGATGAGCTGCAATAAACTTGGTTATATAATCAAATTGCTAAAAAAAAGATCATCTCGTTACTCGAAACGCACATTTTAAGGATTTTTTTAACGTAAGAAAAATCTCAAGATATCTTCCTATTTATAATACTGAACGCCATAGTGTCAAGTCTTGATACTCAGTTTGATTATACGTCAGTTCTGTCGCATAATTATAAGATTTTTTTTCAGTTATTGTGAATT